TCAAGATTTACCCCCTTGCAATTCCCCCAAAAAGCGCTCATCAGAACCTTCTGAACTGACTGCTCTGCCTTAAATTTAACTAGCTCAGCAGATCCTGTGGAAGCCCCTGTTCTGATTGGGCCTTTGGATTAGACCTCTTCTCAGGATTACATTGGGAAATCCAAGGTTCATGTTGGGTTGTAAATTGTTCCATAAAATTGCCTTCATTAGCTTGAATCCTGCTTAACAGAGTGCTAGAAAGATCGTAATCTTCAGGCAGCTGTTGGCTCCCTTTGAGCTGAAAGCTTTCTGAGACTGAAACTTTAACTTAAAATAGAAAAATTTGAAACATGGACTCCCAATGCCAGTAGCTATCACGTCAGTGGTAAAGTCTGTGATCATCTACCTGGTTTTTGGGCGTCAGCTACAGTTTCTTCGTTCATCGAGCTTGACTGTCTTCTCTTGACTCACCAAGATCTTCCTAACCTTCCTTCAGAGAAACTGGTGGCCTAGTGTTGACGAGTTGCACTGCTAACCACAAAGCCCCCGGTTTGAAACCACCAGCCACTCCCGGGAGACAGGTGGGGCTCTCTGCTCTCCTAAAGAGTTACCATCTCAGAAGCTCACTGGGGCAGTTCTGCCCTGCCTCCCCTGCAGATGTGTGCTCCCTCTAAAACTGCTGTTGGTGCGTGTGAGGCGGCGTTCCCATGGACTTGTGGAAAAGTTTCAGTGTTAGGAAGATGCCCTCTTTAGTTTTTGTTTGTTTGTTTTAGTATCAGCCCTGCTCCCAAATTATTTTTTTCCATGGTACAAAAAGTATCATAGGGTTTTTTAAAGGCACCCTAACAAGACTAAGACGATTGTATTCATCAGAGAACTCGTCTACTGGTCACAGAGACACATTTAAGCATGCGTTGTTTGGAACGAATATGTGCATTGATGCACTGGGATCTTAGTAGGGATGTTTCTGATTTACATACTTACTGCCGCAGAGGAGCCCTGGTGGCATAGTAGTTAGGAGCTGGACTTCAGTCTGAAAGGTCAGCCGTTCAGAAAGGTCAGCAGTTTGAAGCCACCTAGCCGCTCCTCTGGAGAAAGACTGGGCTTTCTACTCCCATAAACCGTCTTGGAAACTCACAAGAGCATTCTACTCTGTCTTATAGGGACATATCTGTCAGTATGAGTCACCATCAACTCGATGGCAGTGAATTTGGTGTATCTACTACAACCACTCAATAGAAGAACCAGTTGCTGAGGCTCAAGGGATTGACTTGGAGGTTTAGGGTCATGACTTCATGGAATTTCCCAGTTAATTGACCTAATCACATGTTTAGTGCCTCTGTTCTACCTCCTGTTGAGCAGTGCAGGGTGTCTCATGGTCCTCCAAGGCACAGCATTTGTTCTCTGTGCAGCTCAGGCGGGACCTCGAGGGGGGTGTAGAATGTGTGGCTGACTATCTCCTAGGCACTGAGACTAGTGAACTGGATCTTGGTTGTCATTACTGGACAGTTTGATAGAATTTCCTGATGAAATAGGGGAAATTGTAGAGCACAATTTCAGATTCTCGTGGATTTGACTTTCTGGAATCATGGAGAATGGATAAACCCTAAAATCGTTGCCTGGAAATCACCTTCAAACCTTCAACTGGAAACATTCCCTGAAGTCTTCATGAAACTGATCCGTAGGTAATTGATCTGATTTTGAAATATCCAACCTTCAGCATTGTGCTCTTTTAAGAATTACCTATATGGGACTAAGTTAGATAACAGCAACTTAAAAGATTAGATAGGAACCCTAGGGACCGTGGGCGTGTATTAACAAAGGCACAACTCAAAAGAGAATGCGATTGACTGTACATCTCCTCAAATAATCCATGGCTCCAAGTTGTACAGGTAGATATCATTAAGTCAGGATATGTTTCACTGTGTATATTCTCACCAACAAAATACATTTTATAAGAAAAGAAACACAAACAATGGCAACATAGGACTAAAAGTGATAGACCGAAATATATTTCCTTAACAGAAAAGAGGTAGTAAAAGAAGAAAAGTGGAAGATAAAACAAAAAAACTACAATGATACCTATGTTACGAAGCTCAGTTCATTCCACATTTGTGTTTGAACACCAGAAGGTTTGAGAACTGGACATTTTTGCCATAAGAAATAATGAAAAGCCAAGTAATTGGTTCTGAGGCCCAAACATTGCATTTATAAATTCATTTTTCCAGGAGCTTAACACAATGTTAACAGATCTAGGTTGTAGAACTATCCCCTAAAACATATAAACATAATACATTGGATATCAAAACACAAGACCGTGTATAAAGTTAGCTTATTTTTCATTACGTTTTGTTGTTTCAAAATCTGTGGATTTCCAAAATGGAACACTAACGTGGGCGTCACTTTAAATCCCCTTGAGCATTCCCGCACAACAACAGAGTGAACCTGTCTTTCACAGGCTTAGGACCTGGCAGTGCCTTTTTCTCTTTAGTGATGAAAGTTCCATTGGGCTTTTTTTTTCCACCCCCCAAAAATTCCAGTTTTATCGCAGTTGAACATGTGCTGGGGAAAGAGAGCCTCAGCCCTCACCCTTCCCCAGGCCTCATAACACTGGATTGCTCCCGGCAGCCGTGGCCACCTTTGAACACGTGGGGCTGCTCAGCACCCGCTCCACACCAGTTGTCGTTAAATTACTGTGGGGCGCTTAGCCTTCTGGCATATATCACTGTCTCAGATATGCTGTCACCATCGGGTTATTTCTGGCTGTGTTAGTCTGGGTAGACTAGAGAAGCAAATTCATAGACACTTCTACATGTTAAGGAAAGAGCTTTATTTTATTTTTTTTATTAAATCATTTTATTGGGTGCTCTTCCAGCTCTTAACACAATCTATACATACATCCATTTTGTCAAGCACATTGGTACATATGTTGCTGTCATCATTTTCAAAACCTTTTTCTTTGTACTTGAGCCCTTGATATCAGCTCCTCATTTTTCCCTCCCTCCCCCTCTCTCCGTCCCTCCCTCCCTCATGAACTCTTGATAAATTATAAATTATTATTTTCATATCTTACATGGTCCGCTGTCTCCCTTCACCCCCTTTTCTGTTGTTCATCTCTCTGGTGGGGGTGGGAGGCTGTTATATGTTGATCCATATGATCGATTTCCCCTTTGTCTCAGGAAAGAGCTTTATATACAAGAGCAATTGAATATTGAGAAAACATCCCAGCCCAGTCCAGATCAAGTCCATAAGTTCGATATTAGCCCATATGTCTGATACCAATCTATAAAGTCCTCTCTACACTCACGAAACACATGCAACGACCGCCGAATACAGGAAGAACACAGGCCAGTGGATGGGAAGTCTTGTGGATCCAGTGGCATTGTAAGCATCTCAGCGCTGGTAGGGGTCTCCACTTGGCTCCTCCAGCTCCCAGGGCTCTGGCTGCATCATGGTAGCTTCCTGTGGCTTCTCCTGAGAAATGTATCACAGGGAGTGAGCGAGTGTCCCACCTCCAACGAGCTATTTACCTCCTCAGCGCTTCCAAAGAGGTCATCAAGCTGTGACCTGATTGATGGGCCAAACTCCGCCCCTTCACTTGTAAGTCTCAGATTGACAATAGATCATATGACTACACTGGCCTATCCAAATTAACAGTAACTTTTGAACCTCGTAGATGGTCTGGGTACTTAGTTTCGTGACACACGCTCTCACACCTTACACTACATCGGCCTCTCTACTCGCTTCTTTTTGTTAATGTGTATCGGAAGTTCTGCAACAGCAGAGAAAGATGTCTATGCCCCGAAGCTAGAGCTGCTGCTTCCTTAGGCTGCTGGTGTGTGGAGCACCTTTGCGTGCACTGACTCGACGACGACAGCTCCTAGCATTACACAGGGACTTAGGTGGTGGACTTGGGTAAGAATTGGTTCTTTGCCCTAAGGATGTGGACGCTGTGACAGGGAGGGTTCCCTTGAAGGGCTGTGAAAGCAAGTGCCGTGGGGTCCCGGGGGTGGGTTTGTGTTTTTGTAGCCATGACTGATCCCGTAGCTATTGTGAATGTCAGTCAGAGAGTTGTGGGTGTCAGACTGTCTTTAAGTCCTAAGAGATGGTTTCTAAGAATACCAAATGGAAGTTGAGGACAACTAGGACCCTGTATTTGTCTGGTGTGTGTATTATTAAATATAATATGCTCCCACTCAAAGTTAGAGCGAAAAGCTGATATGTCAGAGGGCTTTCAGTGAAACATGGGAGATTAGACACAGAGGCCTCTTGTTATTCTATCCAAAAAGTTCTAGATCGTAGAAAAAGGATTTTGAAATAAAAGGCATAAACAAAACACCCATCACCTTCACAGAAAAGGGGAAAGATGGAAGAGGAGCTCATGACTATTCAAACTGTGGCAGCTAGAAAATGGGCAGATACATATATACTCATATATAAGCTTAGTTTTTTCAGCACATTTTTATTTATTTTTAATCATTTTATTAGGGACTCATACAACTCTTATCACAATCCATACATACATCAATTGTGTCCAGCACATTCATACATATATTGCCGCCATCATTCTCAAAACGCCTGCTTTCTACTTGAGTCCTTGGTATCAGCTCATTTTTCTCCCCCCCTTCCCGTTCCCCCCTGAACCCTTGATAATTTATAAATTATTATTATTTTGTTCCAGCACATTTTTAATTTACAGTTTTTGTGGTAAAATTTGGTGCCTTGGCTGATGATCGGGTCGGCTTGTACTCAAGTATATATGGTACTTTCTGATGCCAAAAGTGGTTGAAGATCTTAAACAGGTCAGTTCCTTCCTCATGCTGGTGCGTGGATTAGGACGAGCTACTTCTGAAATAGGAATACTGACATTGGAGCCCCCTGTGCAGCCAGGGCTCCTCAGCAATTCCACATAGTCAGGCAGCTGAAATTCAAAAGACAATTTGGGTATAGATTATTGAGAATGTGAAGATCTTCTTTTCTGAGTTCTGCCTCTGGCTGTCCAAAAGAGAATTAAATATACTTGTGCCCTGCATCTGCTTTTAACCCCCCTTTAGTGAGCACCTTTGTCTGTGTTTTCCCTAAGAAGCTGAAAAGAGTGAAGATCCCTCAGCTGCTGCAGGGCCGTCGGGCCTGCATCGCACGTACAGCCAGGACTGCAGCTTTAAGAACAGCATGTACCATGTTGGAGATTACGTCTACGTGGAGCCTGCGGAAGCTAACCTGCAGCCACACATAGTCTGTATCGAGAGGCTGTGGGAAGACGCTGCTGGTGAGCAGGGAGATGTCACTGTTTTACTTCTCTTTGGACAGCTTTCACTCAGGGGTGCTGGGAAGATAGCTAGCATTCCTGCCAGCAGTAGCTGTTCTCCAGTGGGTCCCACTTAGTTTGACACCCACCACCTAGGCAGTGAGACAAAGCTGAGCCAAAAGAAATGCATCCCGGTAACATGAAACACCCCTCGAGTGCTGGACGGGAGCAGATTCAGGAGGAGTCTGTGAAACCCGAGCAGGAAGCAGTGTGACACAAGAAATCCCGGTCTGTGCGCGTCATGGGGATGAGTGTGGGACCTCCACCAGAGGGTGAAATGTGTGACTGCATTCTTGTGCCAGAGTACGTAGCTTTTAGGTGGGTCCTAGTCAGAGCAGAGAAGTGTCATTACCTTCTTCATATGTTGAACATAAAAGGGAAAGTAGTGTTTTTAGGCCTTGTTGCATTTCATTATTTCAGACTAAAAGCGATGGCCCAAAAAGCGCATTGTTACGTTCAGGCCTTGCTGTAAGTTCGTTCGTGGCTTAAGTGTCAGCACATCGTGAAATGAGTGTGTGCTTTCTGTTCATTGTGATGATGGGCGTTTTCTCTCTCTCTTTAAGGTGAGAAGTGGTTATATGGCTGTTGGTTTTATCGGCCAAATGAAACATTCCATCTGGCTACACGAAAATTTCTAGAAAAAGAAGTTTTTAAAAGTGACTATTATAATAAAGTGCCCGTTAGTAAAATTCTAGGCAAATGTGTGGTTATGTTTGTCAAGGTAAGAAACTTACTACTTTCCCAAAATCTCGTTTATTCCCCAAGAGTAAAATTATAGAAACACAAAACGGAGTATTGACAAAGTTTAGAATTCTGTCTTAAAAATCTGTTTTGGCGTAAAATCAATGTGACTTTTTAAAAGCTGTGTCTATATGGATATATGTAGGAGCCCTAGTGGCACAGTGGTTAAAGCACCCGACTGCTGACCACAGATTTTCAGAAAGCGGAATGAAAGTACTCTGTTTAGAAGGTAAGATTTGTGTGCATAACAAGGCCATGTGACAGCCAGGAAAGACTCTAGATACCTGACCATTCACCTTGTGTTGTTAGCTACCAGGGAGGCCTGCGCATGACACGGTTCCTTGGGAAGGTGGCTAGGATTTACTTTTGCTTTTTGATCTCAGAAAATCCAAATAACTGAAAAAAGATCATTTTGTTTTCACGTCCTCCTAGGAATACTTTAAGTTATGCCCCGAAAACTTTCGAGATGAGGATGTTTTTGTGTGTGAATCACGATATTCTGCCAAAACCAAGTCATTTAAGAAAATTAAACTATGGACCATGCCCGTCAGCTCGGTGAGGTTCGTCCCTCGGGACACGCCGCTGCCTGTGGTCCGAGTAGCCTCCGTGTTTGCAAACGCTGACAAGGGGGATGATGAGAAGAACACGGACAACTCGGAGGACAGTCGAGCAGAAGACAGTTTTAACTTGGAAAAGGTAGGTACACAAAAGCTACACTGGAGAATGTCACATCCCAACACAGCTATTCTAGAAAACTAAATTATTTTAAAATCAGTTAGAAAAAGAGTAGCAACACGAAACCTTTGCCAAGCTAGGAGTGAGAAACTTGGGAGCCAGAGACCAGCTGCAGCATTGCAACAGGGAGCAAAACACCAATCTGAGAGTGATCCCTCCAATGAGATCGCTGACCTACCAACTATTTTTATAGTTCATTTAATAAATAATGAGGCCTAGCCTCAAACACAAAATGTGGAAACAGTTTTGAAACTAGTAGGTTTCTGCGAATAAATTTGGAAACCTGAATAAAATGACTAATTCTCTATGATAATACATATTACCAAAATGGAAATCAGGAAGAGATAGGATGCATAAATAGACAGCAACCAAGAAGAAACTGGAAAAGCTCACGTAAGAGCTAACTCCAAAGTAATGGACCTATAGCTATGATGTTTAAACTGTGCCAGAAAATGAAGAACAAAGAAAATTCCCCCGTTCGTTTTCCAAAACCAAAATAATCTTGATTCCAAACAGGACGAAAGAAATCATAAACTGTAGTTCAATCTCACTGATGTAAAAATATGTTTGTAAGTGAAATCAAACGTAGTTTTTAAAGAACAATATGACCAAAATAGAGGAGAATTAATTCTAGGAAAGAAAGGCTTGGTCAAAAATAACGAATGTCTAAAATAGTGTTGTACCCGGACTAGATAAAGTAACCCACACACAACTTTAATTAAGGTTAGTAAGCGTTTGTTGGCTGGCAGTCAAGGGGCAGTGGAGCCTAACTCTCCCTCGACCCCAAGTGCGTAAGAGGGAGGTTCTTATACTTTGGAATAAAGGAGGCACAGGGGCAGGTGGCATCACACTGTATGGAAAAGGGGTCTTAGATACAAAGGCAGATGGTGTTACGCCCTTAGGGAACATGGGACCTTACAAAAATAGAACGGGGCTATACTCATGAGCAATTTTAGAGATCAGTGACAATCGGGTCACCAGTTACAGAGGTTACCACGTTGTTAAAGAGCTCCATTGGGGTTAAGTGTGGTTGTTACAACTGCTTTCCACGATATTGATAGGTAAAAGGAAAAGTTACTTGGTGTCAAAGTTCAGTACCTGCCTTGAGCATTTTGAATGTTTAGGTGGTTATGTTCTCAGTGTTACCCTGCAAGATGATAATTCTCTCAAACGTAAAGCCTGTCAGACAGATTGCCCCTTTAAAGTTATACCCAGAACCAAGGTGCTTGCTGTGTCTAATTATTTTTTTCCTATTTATTTTCTTTGTATCTAGTTAGTTACCTAATAGTATTTTTCTGAACACTATAGCCAGTGCAGTTAGGCAAACAAATAACAAAAATATTGCTAATGAAGGTATGAGATTATTTTCCAAATAATGAGAGGGAGAAAGATAACTGAAAAGTTTTGGGAAACAGTTCATTCAACAAATCACTACCATTTTTGTGTAGATAGTTTTGAAGGTGTAAGCACACTTTAGCAGGAATCATAGAAATGCCATTTTTAGAAAAGCCTTTGGAAGAAAATACCGAATTCATGTTATCAACAAAATATGTTAATATGTCACCTCAGTGAGGAACATATAGGAAGAAAACCTATAGGAAGAAAACAGTCTATGGAAAGACATTAAAGGCTTGAACAAGTTATTTTTCAAACTTGACAACTTTTTCCTGCTCTTATGAGAGAATAAACGTGACAATAAGTAGATAAGAGTTTTAAAGTAATGAGAGCTTTGTCATTTAAAAAAATTTTTTAAAAACCAACATATTAGCTCAGGAAAGAAGATCTTTCATGATTGAGTCCAAAAGTAAATGATTCTTGAATAGGGGATAGAAGTCGTATTTTAGCTCATCAGGGAAGTAACGGAATCTAATGATAATTGGAAAACTGGCAAAAAATACAGATTCTACTCTCACTCTATGTTCCAAATTCAATAAGATGCAAACATGAATGAAACAGTAAGTGTAGTTGCTACATATGTACATAGTAAGTACATGTGACGCCTGTCATCTTTTTATATATACATATACCTCCTCAAAGCATGCTCAGGATAAACTATGATGTTATGTCCAGGAATCTTAGAAATGCTCATTTTAACAGAAAACAGGAATGTCAGTGAAAGTCAACATGTACCGTAACTTGGAGTTGCCATGTCCCCAAGGGCCTCTCTCTGTAATTACTTGGTGCTTGTCTCCAGTCTTTATGTAAATATTGTGTGAGCCCAACAAGGCTGTCACTCCAGGGACCTTCGTAAAGAATGACCAGAGTTATTTTCTTCAATTTCCGTTCCATTTCTCTCTCTCTCTCTCATGCTCTCCTTTTGCCTTAGTGTTTATTAGGTTGTTTTCCAATAGTCAGACATATTTGTATGTCCTAACATAGACTGTATCACTTGAACTACGTAATAACCCCATCCGGGCATGCGATCTCTGTCTTCATTTCATAGCGTCAGTGCATTTGCCCAGGTGACAGGTCAGAGCCTGTGCTTTTTGCAGAAACCAGGTGTATCACAGAGGCCGTGCTACTTCCATCCATGTTGGCACAGAGCAGACAGACTAGTCAGTCTTGTCAGTTGTTAAGGAATTAAGGGAAATCCATGTACAAAGGAGCTTTTGTGGATAATCCCATTATCTTTTTTTTAAATCCCATTATCTTTTAATTCACGTTTTCCATGAACCTTTTGAAGCCATTTTTTGTGTGTGATACAGGCAAATTTATACTCTACAAAATGCATAAATCACCTTTTTTT